AAAGCACACACTCAGCCTCTGCAGAAAAGGACACTGCGCAATATACCTAACTCACCTTCATTTTTACGGGAAGATAACCTGCTAGTTGCTATAGATACTTCTGCATAGAAACAGGAGATAAAGTAGGAAAATGAGAACATCGTATTAAAAAAAATATTATACTGGATTATAATGATACTAGATTTCCAGGCACTGTGCTAAACATAAGATACCTCACCTCTTGTATGAAAGATGAAATGCCTTTCAGACTATTTCTATATGCTTATCACTGTTCATTTTAATCATGATCCACAACACAAACATTTTGAAAGCAAAACATGTTTTAGGACAAGATACAAGAAACAACCAACCCATTTAATATACTAAACTTGTATTTTGCCAACTACGGCTTCAAGGAGTCTTTGAAGGACAACAACATATGCACCACATTAAGTGCATGATGAAATGGCATGGAGACAGCATGGCAATTGGCAATGGTTTTCTCCAGCACCACTTACCACGTGTTGACAGTGCAAGTTTTTAATACATAATATTACTTTTTTAATAGGTATAGGTATTTTTTAGCTTATCTCCAAGAATTCCTACAACATTCTCCTGGGAGATGTTTGCCTGTGAGATTCCGCTGAAAAAAAAATTTGCAATAGGGCAACTCTAGAAAACGGGAAGAATACTGACAGTATACCATCCTCAAAACACATGAAAGAAATACTCCAAGTTAATACAGGCTGGACAGTATAACAGAAATTCTCAACAAAACAGTAGAAGCTGATACAAATTTCCAGTCAGTGACCAAGGAATCCATTGAGAAGGATCTGCATCTTCTGATAATAGTGCACCTGTTAGAAAAGCATTTCAATAGCTTAGCTTAAGGTCACAACCTGGAGCAGTTAAAAGTGGGAAGGAACAGAAATCTTTCAAATAATAACTACAAAACATTTAGGGTAAATCTGCTGTGATGCCCTTCCAGCAGAAAATGGTGCTGAAGTCCCCTGTAAGGGCAGGACCTGCACATGTGAGGCTTCCACCAGTCATCTGAAGAAAGCCTCATCTACTTCTTCCCTGATCAGGCAGTCTGCAGCAGACACCCACCAAAACATGGGTCTGTCTGCAAATCCTAACCATAAACTCCAAAGCGGATCCCCATCCACCCAAGCCAGAGCTTCACGCATCCCTGCTGCTCTCTTAAAACTCGACAACAAACACAACTTGACCTCTGTGGTCTCCCAACTTATCCTTCCCAAAGTGCTTGCACCTATCCACCACGGCTCTAGCCCACTCCTGTGAGCCATCTCACCACGTCTCTGTGACCTCAATGAGATCCTAGCCCTGCAACTGCATGCATTGGACTTCCCATTCCCCCTGCTTCTTCCACGTGTTGCATGTGTGAGTGCACAGGGGCTTCAGAGAGGCCCTCAAAAAAGGCATGAGAGCTCTCCCCATCATACTGTCCTGTAGGCACTCCTTTACTCATGTGCATACAACATGAGGTGGTCCCCTTCTGTCCCAACTGTTGACCATGAGGTGTTTCCTGTCCACAGCATCCTAACCCTTTTGCTTGACAACCTGATCCACCGCTTCCTCACTTGCTTCCTGGCCATCATCTCCCTCCTGTGTCATTCTTAGTTCGCACCTCTGCTGGACAAATTTGCATTACCTTTTATTCCAAATGCTTTGAAACCTTACTGCTTACCAAAAGCAAGATTAATACAAGCCAGGAACATGATCGAAATATATACTAAAAAAAGCTGCACTAAAATTCTATATCAGAACATAAAACCATATAAAAATATTTCTTTCGCTGTTAGAATACATCAAACCTGGCACATGCTTTTATCTTCTGCCCTCTAGACTTAATTAGGTACTCAGCTCCTTTGAAAAAAAATATTCAAGTGCTTTCAATAAAAGGCAATAGTAATAGAGATCACAGAATCATAGAATGGTTAAGGTTGGAAGCAACCTCAAAGATCATCTAGTTCCAACCCCCCCTGCCATGGGCAGGGAAACCCTCAACTATACCAGGTTGCCCAAAGCCTCATCCAACCTGGCCTTGAACACTGCCAGGGATGGGGCATCCACAACTTCTCTGGGCAACCTGTTCCAGTGCCTCACCACCCTCACAGTGAAAAATTTCTTCCTTATATCTAATCAAAATCTGCCCTCTTTCAGTTTAAATCCATTGCCCCTTGTCCTATCACTACACACTCTTGTAAAAAGTCCCTCTCCAGCTTTCCTGCAGACCCCCTTTAAGTACGTTTTACTCTGCACTCACCTACTCAAGTCTGTAAATGCTGAACCTGACAAAAATCTCAACTTTTAAAGGTAAGTTTAACCTGTGAAAAGGGCAAAGCAGAAAGTGCACGTAATTAGAAATCATCACTCAAAAATCAATACACAAAAAAAAGATGACAATTTTGCACTGGCCCACGCTGCTTCCCCAAAACGAAAAGCTTGAACCCCCTTAGCTCAGACTTTGAGGGAGGAAAGCTCAAGTGAACTATCATCTACAGACTTCAAAAGAAAAACGTTTACCATGAAGGAATTTCCGTTGCTCGCCAAGCCAGCGCTCCGCAGCGGCAGGGTTCCCGAGGGCTCCGAGGGGCCAACAAC